AGTCCGTTTTGATACCCAGAATAGTTAAACAAAAAGATTTCAACTTTGTGACAACAAAAGTGAAAAGGATTTATGTTTCCATACTCCTTCGTTCATTAAAATTGCTGTGTACTTACTTTGTATATTATTTATTTTTTCATGCGCTTCTCTCTTGAAAAAGTGAAAAAAAGCAAATATAAACTGCAAAAAAATCGAGCGTAACTATAGTCTGCACATTAAGAAAATATGAAGTGTATTGTGTGTAACGAACACTGATTCTTTTTTGTGTATCTCATTTAAATGAGAATAACAAAAACACATAGCTTCGATCACACATGTGTCTATAGACACATAGTATATACTATTTATGTTATAAACAGAATGTGGAGTATCAATTTGTATACGAAATATACACTAAATTCTTACTTTGAAATAAGAGAAAAAAATTCAAATTGTAATTGAAAAAAATTACTAGCGATATCCACCAATAAAATTCCATGACGTGAGTCGCGTCGCGACTTTTTAAAACTCAGCTAGATTGTCCTGCAATAGCCGCAATTACTGTCTGTGGCATGAGTCGCGTCGCGAAATAGCGATATGGTAGTGATCGCGCTAAGAAAAACCTATACTGAATCCTTAAGAATCGAATTGATGCATGTTTAGAGTCCTGCCGCGAGATCGCGAGTGTATAGCGATCGCGACGTGACTATGAAATCGTGACTGGATTCCTACAAAATATTTTTTCTAGAAAACGTGAGTTTACCAAGATCATGACATGATAACGTGACTTTATAGCGATCGCTAAGCGACAGCCATGAGTTTATAGTGATCGCGATCAGGACATTGCGATTGCGTCGCGTTAGGCGTGACCGTCGACCTGGGCACACGTGTGACACGTGACGTGTCTATCGTATAAATTGTATGTTATATAAAATATACACAGACAGAAAGTAGACAAAAATATTTGTATACTCGTTTTTATTGACCATCTGATATCTGAACAGCTCCCCGATAACATACATGAAATAGAAATCCTTAAGAGAAAAGAAAAGAAACGCTGTCGTTATATTTCTCACTCAAAGGGTACAAACCAATGAGAAAAGAATATAATTTAGCGACAGACGTAGTCAACCTTTCAATTGCAGAACGATTTCTCTGTTTTGATTGACAGATTTTTCTACAAACTGGATTTCAAAAAATTGATCAATCAAATTTGTTCCTTTCCTTTTTTTATACTTGTAACGGCGGCCATTTTTGACGGGAAAAATTGACGGCTAGCGAGAAACAACCTTTTGTGTCACTGTCGAAGCTGATCTTTCTACTTGTGTGATTATTAATGTTTGTTCCCAACAGCCTCTTTCGAGGAAAAGATCTTTTCAAGTATTTAATGATAAGAATAATTATCAATTAAAAGATATTTATGTCCACATACAGAGAAAGAAATAAGATAGACGGATACGAGTATCGAATGCTTGTGTGTGTGAAAGACGGTATCTATCATGGTTAATTCGTCCACAGCGTCAGCGTTCGCAATTTCAAAGCCCTATGCATCAAGTGCGCCAACCAGAAATTCAAAATACTGGAAGTTTACGCATTCATCCATTGTTCATCGTATTCGAATTCCTTGGTGAGTAATGTGCTTCGAGATTTCTAATGTGTATAATCTATTTTCAGAGATCTTGCCGGCGCGGCTGGCCAGCTATACCAGCGGCTCACATCACCTAGCCAACCCGGCACGTCGGACGACGTATTAGATGCGGCCCGCGGTCAGTCTTGAGTGCGTTCAGCTATGGGTTCCGACTCCAGGTTTTATGTTATTGTCATCGCTTTTATGAAAGAGATGGAAGTGGTAACAAGTTTCTAGGTACCATCCTCTCATAATTCTGACACAGAAAGAAATCTTCGATAAGTGTATAGCTTTCAGCACGCTCTACGAGCGTAATTCACGACAATAGAGTGGATGCAGGAAAGATTGTGTCCGGTTTGCATTGTTATACTAGTGGAGAGCCATTGTACCTAGCAGATGCATATTTCATAGTATATATGCCCATAGTTATTGTATAGTGCCAAATGTTCCTTTTTCAACAACATTCTACGTTATGCTATTAAAAAAGTTACAAAACTTCAATCGCAATGTGGTGATACTTTACAGAAAAATTGAAAAATAACTGAATTACGATAAAATTCCTGGTATTCGTGTATGGAATGTCAAAGATGTATATCTTGGCCGCCTGAAACAATTCAAATCGATAACGTATTTTCCTAACACAAAGTACATTCTCCGATATTTTACTGTCTTTATTCAGCGAATAACTGTCTACAGTTATGCATCGACACTTTCACCACTTCTAAACGTTTTCGTTCTGCCTGTTTGAAATTCGTAACAAAGACAGCTAACCGTCAGAAATTGATTTAATGTCTCTCATCGAACAGTAAAGCAGACAACAACAATCTGATTACTTCTGTTATCGTTAGAACACAACTGTTGCTTTCTGTAAGTTAGAGTCAGATCTATTCTGTTTAACAGAATAGATCTGAAACAGTAATTACCGTCTTTCACATATAACACTGCCATTCTACACTTCTGTCTATCAGGCTCTTTTTCTTCTTTGTATTGACATAATATTTTCTAATTAATAATTATTTTTTATCACCAAATACTTGAAACGATATTTCCCTCCAAGAAGGCTATCGAGAACAAACATTAACAATCACACAAATAGAAAGATTAGCATCGATAGTAACACATAAAAGTTATATAAACAGAAAGAACGTCAGTCATACATTCAGTCTATCTCCTCTAAGCTCACATACACACAGGCACATCGGAAGTAATAATACTAATAATACAAAAATGAATTCGCTCATTGGTCTATTCATAATAACTGCTCTCCTGAGCAGTCAAATCAACGGTCGTTTCGTACTCGACGATGACCACGATGATTATCAACGAACACGAAACGAAGATTCTGAACAGTGGCTATCATTAGCATCACCGTCATTTTCAAAACGAGCATTGCAGGACACGGAAGCATTACCATTCCTTTTCACAATGTTCAGTATCGACGATGATATAGGGGATCAATTTACTGAAATTGTTAGTCACTTTGGTGAACAAGAAGGTAAACCGTTTAGTGACGTTATGTCAGGAGCCATAGTAACGGCAATGCAACCGATATGTCCAGAACTATTCCTTGCGGAAAAATCAACTATCGATGGCGGTCAGATGGAAATGATGAAAATGATTCATGATATAGAAGTTAAAAGATTTCTCCAGAAATTGAATGCAAATGATCGAAATGTATTCGATAGTGTATTTAAACACATGAAAACACAAGAAAATGCAGCAAAGGCATGTAAATCCGTATATAAAATGCTTCCCAAAAAGCCGACTGTTTAATAAGAAGAAGAGATGAACTGTGTGAAACTATGCGTCGATTTTTTTTACTGCAGTCCGTATAATTTTTCACAATTGTTGAACATAAATAAAGCATCAAAGAAAATATGAACCGTAATATTATTAGTAGATCCTGAGAGAAAGGAAGTACTTATTTACCTTTGAATGAAATGTAGAGACGGGAAAGAACGAAGGCGGACAAGATCAATTTATTGATCAGAGTCAGCTTCACACGGTTTGTGAGTTGAGGCGCTACATTCATCGTAATAAGGAAATAATTTGATCTTTCATTGATGATATTATCATCCGAGAGCAGATAGAATCAATACAAAAACTATGTGATTCTTCTTCATATGTTTGTGACAAAAAATTCGCCTATCATATTCAACACAGTGCATTAAAAGAGTCAGTGGATTTCAGTTTTCATTTAACCAGAACCATCTTTTCCACTAACGCAAATCCTCACAGACCAGAAAAATGTGTCGCTAATAAAAAATTCGTAAACGTGGCGAAACAATTTGCATCAATTTGTCAAAACTTTGCTGTCAGGCCGTGTAACAGTGTCAAAGTGAAAAACTATCTCGTTAGATCTCCTTATAGTGTAGTTCAGTATAAGTATGATGACTTGTAGACCGAAAAGCATTGAGAAAAATCATGCGAAAGAAAATTGAAAAAAAGAGGCTTAGAACGAGCAGAATAACGCAGAAAACAGGTAAAGTTCTCAAAATATTTTGATTGATGAGAGATCTTCATGCAAGTCAACGCTTTACGGGAAAAAGATGAAGGCTTTAGTCATTTAAGATTCTTCGATAAGTGGATTTCAACTTTGGCAGTTGAGAACGTCAACTGACGAGATAGAGTCAACTGATGAGATAGAGTCAACTGATGAGATACAGTCGACAGTTGAGAACGTCAGCTGCAAAAAACGTACCCATTCCGTTCAAATTTTTGTTAACCCGACTATTTTAGAACTTAAGACATGTTTGAGAAGAATACAAAATTAACGTATTTATAGCTCAAATGTGATCCACTATCCGAAACGATGGTCAAAAAACAACGAACGATGGTCAGAAAAACAAGTAACGTTAAGAACACAATGAAAAATGCATCTCTTAGATGGAAAAAATCCTCTTTTTTGACATTAATCCTCTAAAAAAAGGTTTAGAGAATGCTCTCTTGTCCTCTTTTTCCAAAATGACTTCACAAGCCATCCGCAAGTGAAATTTTAATTTTTGCTCTGTGTACTCAGCGAGCGTGATCGGGTTAGCGTTGATCTTATCGATTTGATTGATCCGATTGTGCTACAGCAGATTATGTAAAAGCGATCAGAAAAACGAGCAACGTCAAGAACACAATGAAAAATGCATCTCTTAGATGGAAAAAAACTAGAACACGAGTGTCGGCTCGAACGTAATACTTGTGTACTGAACGTTGTTAAAACTCAAGACATTTGCTAATTTGTACACATCATTTTGAAGTAGTTTCACCGTCACCTTATAAATGCTCGTTGTGGATCAATCCAACTCTCATCATTTTGGTAAACAAAATGTGAATTGAGAAAATTCACGATTGTGTGAATTTAAAACAGAAAAATAGAG